TTTTTTTGTTTTCTTCTTTTTCTGAAAACTTCATGCACTATAATAGTAAGAAAAACATGTAACATTTGTCTAAATACTCTATAGTATATAAATATATACAGTATTGGACAAAAAATTTGCAACCAACATCGAACAATAGTAAAAAGTATTACTAATTTTACATGTCTTAAAAATGAAACGAACTATACTACCACAGCAAACAGTTCAGGAGTCTGGAGTCATAGCATGCCATGAGCAATCAGCTGACAGGTGAAAGCACACAGGCAGAATTTTGTTGACAAGTGCCATTTTGCAGGGGACAAAACAAGTGCAACTTTTTTGGTTTGTTTCATTTTTTAAGTCTGGTCTGTGTCAACGTCACGGATGTTTTTTAATAATTAAAGGAAGTATTCAGAAGTTTCCAGAAGTTTTTAGAAGTATGCAGAAGGTTCCAGAAGTTTCCAGAAGAAGCATCTGGAAACATCCAGACGCATGCAGAAGCGTCCAGAAACATCAAAAAGAAGTATCTAGAATCTTCTAGAACAGGTTCACACAGGTTCATTTTACTATATAAGAGACATGTAAACAAACATGTAATTCAGTCAGTATATGGAAATCAGTCAGTCAGTATTATCAAGACAGTTTATTTAAGTGAGTTTTATCAAAGTGTTTTATCAAAGAACCAATAAAGAAGTGAAATACAACAAGTGTTTTATTACATCAATACAGTCCACATCCAACCAAGACGTTGTGTTCCACAGAGCATTATTGTATCATCACAAGGTAAATGTAACACGGTAAGCCTTGAGAAGCGTGATTATTTATTTTTATTAATTTTATGACTTCAAGTGCAAAAATGGCTCTCGACAGTCTTGGATTGGAACTAAGAAAAAAAATTATTGGCGATTACGTAAGTGGAATGTCACAAAAAAGTATTTGTGATAAATATCGCATGAAAAAATGAACTGTATTAAAACTATGTTCCAAATATCGTTCTACGGGAAAGTTGGCAGCAGATAACAAAGGTGGAAGACTGCATTTCACCACTTATAGAGAGGATTCTATGATCGTCAGATCCCTCAAAAAGGATCCCTGGAAATCATCAGTATAAGTCGAGATACAAAAGCAATTAGAGCTGCCTGTATTGGACCGAACAATCAGACAACGTGCTGTTGAAGCTGGATTGTTTTCTCGACGCCCTGCAAAGAAACCGGTGATTAAATAAAGTACCAGAAGAAAAGACTCCTGTTTGCTACATCTCATATTGACTGGAACGTGCAGAAATGGCGAACTATCCTTATTGTTGAATCGAAGTTTAAAATCATTGGGAGCAATGGCATTTGCCGTGTACGTTGACCGGGCGGAAAACGCCTCGATTTACGTTACTGCCATAAGACTGTGAAGTATGGTAAAGGCAATGCAATGATCTGGGGGTGTTTTTCTGCTAACAGTCTAGGTCCATTACATCGAACGGATGGAATAATGGACCGTTTCATGTATAAAAATATCCTGAAAGATGTTATGTTACCTCATGCTGAATAGAATATGGCAACAAAATGGGTTTTTCAGCAAGACAACGATCCAAACCACACTGCAAAAGTAGTCAAGCAGTGGTTTCAAGACAACCATCTACCGGTGATAGATTGGCCGCTTCAATCTCCGGATCTCAACCCTATTGAGAACCTGTGGAAGATCGTCAACCACAGAATTAATTGTGAAGGTGTTCGTAATAAGGATCAACTGTTTCAACAAATCCAAAAGGCCTGGGCAGCGATTCCACAAAGTTTCATTGATCACCTGATCAAATCTATGCCTCAAAGATGCAAGGCTGTGATTGACAACAAAGGATTCACCATGAAATATTGATAGCGAAATACAGCTTGGTCAACATTTTGTGGAGTTGCACTTGTTTTGTCCAGAAGGAAATCAACTTTTTTTAATACTTTTGATTAATTTAAGTATTTTCATGTACAAATAATGAACTTTGTGATGAATAAAACTTGAAGAACGCTGTCTCTAAACAGTTACATAGTTATTTCTCTAAATTGAAAAAATGCAGCACTTTTATATAAAGAAACTAAATTAGTATTATTTTGTTGCACTTGTTTTGTCCAGTACTGTATAAAATTTCCCTATATTTTGTAAAACAACAATAAATATACCCATTATCACAAAAGCGCAATAAAAAATATATCCCTGGCTAACAATTTGTAGGCATGTATAGTATTAATTTATAGGCATATATACATTTATTCTTGTACAAACTAATAACAATATAATTACAAAAATACAATAAAATCAATTAAAAAGTTTATCATGTCACACTAAAGAAATAGGATATAACAAAAGAATAAGTTAAAAAAGTACGCAATATCTATAAAAAATAGTAGCTAAACAGAAAGTGTCATTTTTACATAGTTAACGTGTTTATTCATAGCAGGTTTTAACCATTCTATGAGCATACTTTCTTTAAATTTTAACTCAAATTTGTTAGATGCTGAATTTAAAACAGAAAAAAATTTATCAATTATTTGCATGAAACAATTTTCATTAGCATGGAGATGTTTATAGATATGAGACTTTTTATCCCTCTCATAATGTTCAGATATCCAGGTCTTGAGATGGCGAGTAGTTTCACCTAGTTAACAGGAGTTACATCCTGTACACACAAACTTATACACCACGAACAATTTGAACTCTAGAGGAATAGGCTCTTTAGAAGAAAAGAATTTAGAAATTTTTAGTGAGGTAAATACTAATTTAATATTTGCTGAATAACAATATCTTTTAGCAATTGAATTCAGTCTTTTTTAAGTTGAATCAGATTAAAAGTGTTTTTAGTTGAATCAGTTTAAAATAGAACAAAGATTCTTTGATTTTTGGTTGTGGCGGAGTATTTGAATTAATCTTGTTTAAGTAGGAGTTTTATATTTTTGAAATGAGCTAAGATGGATACATGTTTCTTTGAAATACTTTAAAGAGGTTGTTTATGTTCGAGTGTTTAGTACTATTAATTTTAAATATTTTATTGATTAAGCATTTGTTTTTTTATGAAAACGTTAGTGGTACCTGAAGAATTGATTTTGTGTAGAGATACATCTAAAAAAGATATTTTTGAGTTTACTTCTTCTTTCATAGTAATAGAAATAGAATTGCATTATTTATATATTGTATGTACAATTTATATATCTAAGAAAATGGTGTGCGTAATTTTCTAACTGGAAAGCAGCACAAATGTCATCAACATATATTTTGTAGAAAACTGGTTTTTATTCCATTGAAATTTTTAATCCATTTATTTTCAAAATAACCCATAATCAAATTGGTAAGAACAGGTGCCAGCAGTGGAACATTGGTGTATAAGCTGGTTACATCCTATGATACTAAAAAATATTTGTGGAGATCAACTTGACTTATTTCTTTAACAAAGGAAAATGAATCTTTTGTACAAAATTCAGTGTTTATTAATGGAGATAATAAATCTCTAAGAAATTTGGCTAGTTAGTAGTTTTAGGTTCCAATAGATGATGCAATCAATCTAAAGTTTATGGTAGTCTCAGAAGAATTTAGTTTATGCATTTTTGGTCCATAG